CGGGCTGATGGTACAGCCTGCCTCTGTTGGCTCCCTAGACGTACCCTCCCCTCCATGGAATGGGAAGGGCCCCGATGCCTGCAAGGATGAACTGATACCTGCCAGCGTATCCTCGCTCTCAAGGTTGTCCCACTCGATATCATCGGCTACCTCGTCATCGTCTCCATCGTTGTCATCATCATCACTGTTAGTGTCTTCCCTTGTTCCCACGCCTACAGCTTCCGCTGCTTCTTTCTCTTCTTGTCCTCCTTCACCTTCCTTAGCCGCTCACCCTCGGCACGATTCACCATCCTCATGGCCGAATCCCTCGACAACGGCTCCGGGTGATCCATGAGGATGAGATCCCTCGGCTGGTCCTGCCCCTCTCAAGGTTAGTATCAAGGGTCGAAAAATCAATTGAAGGAAAGGCAAGGGAAAGGGGAACTTACGAAGATGATGTAGCCCGACTCCGGCCACATTGGAGGATGCCCCGGCACCGGGTAGACGAAGTCGAGGGCACACCCATGTCATTCCCCAAAGGCTCCATCACCTCCTTGATGCCTTGCGCGATCTTGGAGTTGGGGAGTGTCCTTAGCGAGCATCGTTCCATCGAACGATGCCATGGGTGCCTTCGCATATAGCGGGAGCGCACGCATCATCAAAGGTGCCACCCTCCTTGCATGGTAAGCCCCGATGACGCCCAACCCCTTCAAGCCGTTATCCTTCAAGATTTGGATGGCGGCGATGTGGTCTCGGATCTTCTTCTTGTCCTTCTCTAGGACGCCCCACTTTCTCCATGACTCCGGGGCCTCTTTGATCAGGCATTCGATGAACTCCGGTAGAGGGGCAGCGGTGTCATTCTTGAGGTAGAACCATTGTGAATGCCACCCCTTGTTGGACGTCAAAAGCCGCATGGACGGGTACTCGCCGACCCGATTGTTCTAAAGTTGGATGCCGACGCACCCCATCGGCATGTGCAGCTCCTACCTACCGCTTTTCTCCCTCTTCTTCTGGAGGTTGACGGTGAAGAAGTGCCTCCACAAGTCAAAGTGGGGCTGATCCCAAGGAATCCATCACACAGCGCGACGAACGCCGCCATATGCTAGATCCCGTTGGGATTGAGATGCTGCAACTCGATCTTGTTGTAGTGCAGCAGCCCCTGAAGAAATTTGTGGGCGGGGGTCGTGAGCCCACGCTCATGGAAGTGGGCGAATGACACCACATAGCCATCGGGCGGATGATGGCAAATCCTCTTCACTAGGCAGCAGCCACTCCTCGATCGAGGTCCATGCATGGAGAAGACCGTGATGGACGAGGCCCTCCATACGCTGGAGGTGATGTTGGAACGACACCACGGATCCATTAGAGATGGGAGCAAATGGATACAAGCTCAATGGCGGCGGAGATGCAAAGGCAGAAAACCTAAGTGGTGGCGGCGACGGTGTGGCTGCAGAGGCAAGGATGCAAGCATGCGTATGAAACCCGAAGGGCTAGCCCTTTGGTTTTATAGGGGCGACAGTGCAAGGAAACTAACCCTCCACCTACATCTCCGCGCCTACCATGACCTGCCACCACGTCTCGCCATGGGACGTGCGCACGCAACCAATGTCCGTTTCCTCGGAAAACTCACCGGACGTTTCGCCTTCCCGAACGGGCCATGACCCATCACAGGTAAAAGGGATACGGAGCTAAAAACGCTCCTACGGCCCGTCTAGGCCTAAGAGTTCAAAGGTTGACCCACCGATGGGTTCGACAACCGCTCCAAGCACCTTTAGAGTGAGAGGTGGAAAGGGATGGGCCCGCTAGCGGCCGGTACCTAGGCGCACGAGTGCCGTGGGCATCTCGCCCACGTTCAAGTCTCGGTCGGATATGATCCATGGTTTTTCCTCGAAGAAAGGCACAGAGCCCTCGGGACCGGTCGGACGGATCCGAGAACTATATGGATTGACAACTAAGAATCTAGAGGCGGTCACCAAGGTGACCCAAGCCGGATCCCCACGAACGGGATGTCGAGGCCCCACTCGGACTAGCCCATTAACAGCTCACCGAGCACCTTGATTTGTCCATAGAGGAAAATCATGGCACGAATCGGCCCCTCCGTTTTTATCGGGAAAAACGCTCGAGGGAAGACAATGGCAAAGATGAGCTGATCCTCGACCGGGCCCCTGCTACGGGCAGGGGCTCGAGGAAAGTTAGACTCGCACGAAGGTTGAACGCACGGCCGTAGAACGACAGACCCCCGTAGTGGTCGAAATCAGGAAAGACCTTTTTCGACCCACCAAATATCACGGCTATACCCCCGAGGAGTCCAATCTCGACGAAAGGAAATCACCATCCCTAGGTCATGCCGTGGGCGACAAAAGAAGGCCAAGGCCCCCAGAGTCCTCCCATTCGGAAAAGCCTCCGAAAAAGTATTCTACTCCTCCACAGGCTCGAGGGCTACTGTCGGGGACTAATACTAGGGTACCCAAAGAGGAGAGGCTAATGATCGTCAACATTAATTCATTCGAGCAGTCAAGAGCGCGACTACGGCTCCAACCGGCCCCTAGGTGCGTGGCTCCGCCTCGACCGACCTCTGGGGAGCCCCTAGGGGTGGGCTCCGCCTCACCCCACCTCTAGGGGAGGGCTCCACCTCGCCGGACCCTAAGGCCGTAGGCTCCTCCTCGCCCGACCTTTGGGGGACGGGCTCTGCCTCACCCGACCCTGAGGCCACAGGCTCTGCCTCGCCCGACCTTTGGGGGCGGGCTCCGCCACGCCCGACACCAAGGCCGCAGGCTCCGCCTCGCCCGACCCCGAGGCCGCAGGCTCCGTCTCGCCGGGCCCTTGGGTTTGCGCTCTGCCTCGCTCGCCCCCTCGGGTGCGGGCTCCATCTCGCCCGACGGCGTCCCATACCGCCGCCAACCACTCCAGGTCCAGGCATATGGGCCTGGGTCAAAACTTTGACACCAGGGAAGAGACTGGCACGTCTCGATATAACCCGCGACCACGACGGGCCATACATGAGGATTCACGTCAAGAACAGCGTCGGGCGTACCGGTACTGTTTTTCCTAACCCTCGTACTAACACTGACAGGCGCGTCAGTTCACCATGACGTTCGCTAGGTGGAGTGGAGCGCCATGACCGGCAGACGATGCCTGTGCATGGCGCTAGTGACGGACAAGGCCGCAACATGGTGTCGCCCTTGTTGACATCTACTGGGTCGGTGGGACCCGCATGAAAGAAGAAGAAGGGCCCGACGATCCTGAAGGCCTTCGGCTCTCTCTCGTTCTTCTCTTTTTCTTCACTGTAACCCATGCTTTTCTTTGGCCTATAAAAGGGAAAGCAGGGCGTCCCATGAGGGGCATCTGACCAACGAACCCATCGAACCCCGAACCACGAGATAACAAACATATGAGCGCATGGCTAAGCAGTGACCGAGCTCTCAATACCCGTTTATTCTTTCCACCAGAGACTTGGGACATGTCCCTCCATCTCCCGTTTATAACCCCTACTATAAACTTTTGGTGCTAGTAACATGAGCAGCAGCGACGAACTGGACGTAGGGATATTCTGCCCGAACTAGTATAAATCTCGTATCCTCTAAGTACACCATTCGAGCCAGACGTGTAATATTAAAAATTTTTGTAATCGGTAACTCAAAACACGTATTGTCTGGGTTGGCGGTAAAAGTTTTTAACATTTGACTATAGCCTTAATTTCCTCGGTTGTCATGGTATTTTTCAGCCCAGTGCTGATGCTGTTTTGTCCCATGCTCATCACTGCAAACAGGGTGATGTTTTTATAGTATCATGTCAATGAGATCGTATAGGGCATAAACATTAAGATTATATTTATAGTTTCTACTCTAGATTACTGGTGAATTTTTTTCACATTTAACTACAACATAGCAATTTTACATCTATTTGGTGCTGAGTTATAAATAGTGAAATATTAAATTAAATTGTAGATCAATAATGAAGATGTCTCAAGGAATATATATATCACAATTAATATGGAATGCTCATGTCCATGTTTTTCTCGATCGCCATCTTTTGATTTTTTTTACTATTATTCTATCTTAGGTTCGTCACAAATATAGGACGGTGATATATTTTTTCTAGATATAAATTTTAGATCAACAATGTATATTTTGTAAGGAGAAGATATCAGATTCTTACGTTACCGTTGTCCCTTTGTCCCTGGTTGTCACCATATCTTGGCGCTACCGATGACTACTATTTTGTCGGGCAATAGTAATCATAGCTGAATAGTATCCCTCTAGATATATCTCAATGCGAATCAATAAGATTTTGCTAGTAGTTATTATTAATAATCAAACATTGTCGTATTAATTTTTGAAAGATGGATTTCCTCCATAAATATGAACCAAAATAAGATGCTTGAAATCACTGGATGGGCATCCATCCATGGCATGGTTCCCTTGAGGTGAGACGCATCCATCTCTCGCTCCTTTTGCTTGTTTCTGTTCTCCGGATTGACCTTGTTGTGTCGTTTTAGCTTGTTTGCTGGTTGATTTCAGGCACGACTTATTAGCTAGTTAATAGTATTTTTCTCTCACAATAAACCAGCATCAGCCGGATTTATCAGCACAGATTTTGCTCCATAAAAACACCTGTGATGTTTGACGCGGCAAAACGTTTGGCAGCGCTTTTCATCCCAAAATTACCTCCCATTTGTTCAGTTCAACGCTAGTAGTTGGCGCGGCCCTTTCCTTGGCCGTCTTTTCTTTTTCTTTTCGGCCCCCCTTTTTTCTGCGCCCACCGACACTCCTCTCCTCCTCCCCCAATTTTTCTTTAAAAATCCCCCGCTCGCTAATCCCCTCCCCTCCCACCGACGCTGCCGCCCGCCGCTGGCACGCATTCCTGCTCTCCTCTCCTCTCCTCTTCTTCGTCGGTGCGGCGCGGCGCGGCGCCCGGTGAGAATCACTCGGATGGAGATCTGCTGCTAGAGTGAGAGGAGCTACCGGTCAGTATCCTGCGCCTTCGTCGGCGGCGGAGGAGGAGGAGGAGGGGAGGAAGCGATGGAGGCGAGCGCCGGGCTGGTGGCTGGCTCCCACAACCGCAATGAGCTCGTCGTCATCCGCCGCGACGGCGATCCCGGGGTACGCGCGCGCTTCAATTCCCGGCTGGCTTGCGAGAGGAGCGAGCGTTACGGTGCTGATTTTTTTGGTTTCTATATGTGCGTGCAGCCGAAGCCGCTGCGGGAGCAGAACGGGCAGGGGTGCCAGATTTGCGGCGACGACGTCGGGCTTGCCCCCGGCGGGGAGCCCTTCGTGGCGTGCAACGAATGCGCCTTCCCCGTCTGCCGGGACTGCTACGAGTACGAGCGCCGGGAGGGCACGCAGAACTGCCCCCAGTGCAAGACCCGATACAAGCGCCTCAAGGGTGGGTGTCCCCAACTCCATCCACCGAAATGCAGCTCCACCCTGGCGCCGATGAATTACTCGAGGCGCGGCTTTCGATGATTCTTCTCTAGTCTCAATTGCTCACTCAACTCGTCCGATGTGCGGTGCGGGACTTTGTTTGCAGGCTGCCAGCGTGTGACCGGTGATGAGGAGGAGGACGGCGTCGATGACATTGACAACGAGTTCAACTGGAACGGCCATGACTCGCAGTCTGTGGCCGAGTCCATGCTCTACGGCCACATGAGCTACGGCCGTGGAGGTGACCCTAATGGCGTGCCACAGCCTTTCCAGCTCAACCCCAATGTTCCACTCCTCACCAACGGGCAGATGGTACTAGTACTGCAGAATCCAAGTATCACTGTTCCCTTGCCACCTCCGTATGTGGGGTTACTGGTGTGGCAATGGCTCAATTGCTTGTTTCTGGTGCGATTGCAGGTCGATGACATCCCACCGGAGCAGCATGCACTGGTGCCTTCTTTCATGGGTGGTGGGGGAAAGAGGATCCATCCGCTTCCTTATGCGGATCCCAGCTTACCTGGTGTGTATTTGGATGATCATCAGCCAAAACTTAGTTGTGGTCATGGTGCCCTGAATTTAATTGATTAACGGTTGTTGTGTTCCAGTGCAACCCAGGTCTATGGACCCATCCAAGGATCTTGCTGCATATGGATATGGTAGTGTTGCTTGGAAGGAGCGGATGGAGAGTTGGAAGCAGAGGCAGGAGAGGATGCACCAGACGAGGAATGACGGTGGTGGTGATGACGGTGACGATGCTGATCTACCACTGTATGACCCTCAAAACTTGTTTGGTCCCTGTTAGTTTTATGTATCTTTAATGCTTTATGCTATTTGGTTGCATGTATTCATCCAAATTAGGGCCTGTTTGGTAGGGCTTCTCTCCGGCTTCGGCTCTAGCTCCTCTGGAGGAGCCTTGCCAAATGTTTTTCTGAAGGAGCCATTTTTTCAGTAAAAATCAGAGGAGCCGGAGCCGTTTTGGAAAAGCCACAAATTGTGGCTCCTCCAAAACGGCTCTGGCTCCTCCGGAGGAGCCCCTCAGGAGGAGCCGTGCCAAACACCCCCTTAATTTCTAAAATAGTCTATGCTCTGTTCAGGATACCATTTGTTTCCCTTTGTCATAATTATCACTCGCAAAAAAAAAGTAACGCTTCCAACTTTCTTAGTAAAACGAAAGAAACTGGTGGATTCATATTTTTTTAATTTTGCCTTTGTTTGCATGATTGAAGGATGGCAGTGCACGATAGGCCAGTATAGTATGTGCTCTATAAAATTTAACGTGTTTGCCTGCATGTATCTTTACTACACGTCACCTTCCATTTGATATTTCCAGAAGCAGATCTTTTCTCCTGTCTTGCTACATGCTACTAGACCCAAGTATTAACTTTTAGCTGATTTTTTCTTTCTTTACCAGAATGGATGAAGCAAGACAACCGCTGTCCAGGAAAATTCCGATTCCATCGAGCCAGATCAATCCATATAGGATGATTATCATTATTCGGCTTGTGGTTTTGGGGTTCTTCTTCCACTACCGAGTGATGCATCCGGTGAATGATGCATTTGCTTTGTGGCTCATATCGGTTATCTGTGAAATCTGGTTTGCCATGTCTTGGATTCTTGATCAATTCCCAAAGTGGTTCCCTATTGAGAGAGAGACTTACCTAGACCGGCTGTCACTGAGGTTAGTTGCTGTTGCCACCTGCTAATATTTGCCTTCTCTTCCTGTTGTTTTGTGACTAATTGCTTGTCTGGATAGGTTCGACAAGGAAGGCCAGTCATCTCAACTTGCTCCAATTGATTTTTTTGTCAGTACAGTTGATCCCTTGAAGGAACCTCCTTTGGTCACAGCAAATACTGTTCTGTCTATCCTTTCGGTGGATTATCCAGTTGATAAGGTTTCTTGCTATGTTTCTGATGATGGTGCCGCAATGCTAACGTTTGAAGCATTATCTGAAACATCTGAATTTGCAAAGAAATGGGTTCCTTTCTGCAAAAGGTACAATATTGAACCTCAAGGCTCCAGAGTGGTACTTCCAACAGAAGATAGACTACTTGAAAGACAAGGTGGCAGCAAGTTTTGTTAGGGAGAGGAGAGCAATGAAGGTGCCTTATTTGTCCTTTTCTTAATGTGTTGTCTGCTATCCTGTTTGTTAAGAGTATGATAATTAAACCAAGTTTGGATTATTTTCAGAGGGAGTATGAGGAATTCAAGGTCAGAATCAATGCCTTGGTTGCTAAAGCACAGAAAGTTCCTGAAGAAGGATGGACAATGCAAGATGGAACCCCCTGGCCTGGAAACAATGTTCGTGATCATCCTGGAATGATTCAGGTAAGCCTTATGGTTTGTTGCTACGTAGTACTTATTGTGGCATGCTTCAAGCATCTATTTATTTTCCTGTCTCTTATCACCAAGACAAGAGAAGTTAATTCTTCTGTACAAATAGGTCTTCCTTGGCCAAAGTGGAGGTCTTGACTGTGAGGGAAATGAACTGCCACGATTGGTTTATGTTTCAAGAGAGAAACGACCAGGCTATGACCATCATAAGAAAGCTGGTGCTATGAATGCATTGGTAATTGTTACATCTTTGAATAATTTGTTTCTGTCTTCTATAACCTATGGGATACAATGGGTTTTTAATTACTTTTGTTTGTCTGTATCACAGGTCCGAGTCTCTGCTGTACTAACAAATGCTCCATATTTGTTAAACTTGGATTGTGATCACTACATCAACAACACCAAGGCTATAAAGGAAGCAATGTGTTTTATGATGGACCCTTTACTAGGAAAGAAAGTTTGCTATGTACAGTTCCCTCAAAGATTTGATGGGATTGATCGCCATGACCGATATGCTAACAGGAATGTTGTCTTTTTCGATGTAAGATTTGGCATTCATATTTCTGAGATGTTCTGTTGTCTACACATTTCTGAGATACATATTTTCCTTTATGAATGTTTTACTAACATTTGTGTTGTGCAGATCAACATGAAAGGTTTGGATGGTATTCAGGGTCCGATTTATGTTGGTACTGGATGTGTGTTTAGAAGGCAGGCATTATATGGTTATGATGCTCCCAAAACAAAGAAGCCACCATCAAGGACTTGCAACTGCTGGCCGAAGTGGTGCTTTTGCTGTTGCTGCTTTGGTAATAGGAAGCACAAGAAGAAGACTACCAAACCAAAAACGGAGAAGAAAAAATTATTATTTTTCAAGAAAGAAGAAAATCAATCCCCTGCATATGCTCTTGGTGAAATTGATGAAGCTGCTCCAGGTAACTGTGAGCTTTCAAAGAAGCACTTGAGTTATTCTTGAAACTTCTCCATTGTTTTTTTAGGGAATACAGTAGGGGAAACCCCGAAACTTCTTCATTGTGATCTCTATCTATGCTGTTCCCTGTAGGAGCTGAGAATGAAAAAGCTGGTATTGTAAATCAACAAAAATTAGAAAAGAAATTTGGTCAGTCTTCTGTCTTTGTTACATCCACACTTCTCGAGAATGGTGGAACCTTGAAGAGTGCAAGTCCTGCTTCTCTTTTGAAAGAAGCTATACATGTCATTAGTTGTGGTTACGAAGACAAGACAGACTGGGGAAAAGAGGTAAAGTCTAGAGCTTGTGGTTATTGGTTGATGAGTCAAAACATATGCTACATATTTAATCATATGATATTTTTCTTTTCAGATTGGCTGGATCTATGGATCAGTTACAGAAGATATTCTAACTGGTTTCAAAATGCATTGTCATGGTTGGCGGTCAATTTACTGCATACCTAAACGGGTTGCATTCAAAGGTTCTGCACCTCTGAATCTTTCCGATCGTCTTCACCAGGTGCTTCGTTGGGCTCTTGGGTCTATTGAAATCTTCTTCAGCAATCATTGCCCTCTTTGGTATGGGTATGGTGGTGGCCTGAAATTTCTGGAAAGATTTTCCTACATCAACTCCATTGTGTATCCTTGGACATCTATTCCCCTCTTGGCTTACTGTACATTGCCTGCCATCTGTTTATTGACAGGGAAATTTATCACTCCAGAGGTAAATAAAAGCTTATTCAATTATAGTTTTGTATGTTGTGGAATGCCTGGATCTTATGTTCACTGTTTCATCTGCTGCAGTTGAATAATGTTGCCAGCCTGTGGTTCATGTCACTCTTTATTTGCATTTTTGCTACAAGCATCCTAGAAATGAGATGGAGTGGTGTTGGAATTGATGATTGGTGGAGAAATGAGCAGTTCTGGGTCATTGGAGGTGTGTCCTCGCACCTCTTTGCTGTGTTCCAGGGACTTCTCAAGGTCATAGCTGGTGTTGATACAAGCTTCACTGTGACATCAAAGGGTGGAGATGATGAGGAGTTCTCAGAGCTGTATACATTCAAATGGACTACCTTATTGATACCTCCTACCACTTTGCTCCTATTGAACTTCATTGGTGTGGTTGCTGGCGTTTCCAATGCAATCAATAACGGATATGAGTCATGGGGGCCCCTCTTTGGGAAGCTCTTCTTTGCATTTTGGGTGATTGTCCATCTGTATCCCTTCCTCAAAGGTTTGGTTGGAAGGCAAAACAGGACACCAACAATTGTCATCGTCTGGTCCATTCTGCTGGCTTCAATCTTCTCACTCCTTTGGGTTCGGATCGATCCTTTTCTTGCAAAGGATGATGGTCCACTTCTTGAGGAGTGTGGTTTGGATTGCAACTAGGATGTCAGCACATCAGCTACCCCAATCAGCGTATGCTCGGAGAAGTATTTTTGCCGTTGTTTGTCCCCATATTTACAATGTCCCCTTTGTAGATAAGAGACATGAAATGTCTCGCATTTCTTTTGATCCATGGTGGCACCTCCACCTAATATCTGAGATATACCGGGGGAAATGGAGGCTGCGGCAATCCTTGTGCAGTTGGGCCGTGGAATACAGCATATGGTGTTTGATTGTGCAGCATTCTTTATTACTTGGGCGCAAAACTGATCGGGCGAGCCGAACAGCAAGGTGTTTTGATTCTGCACTGCTCCCGTGTACAAACTTGGTTCTCAATAAAGGCAGGCAGGAATATGCATCTGCCAGTGGAACAGAGCAACCTGCACAGTATTTATGTAGCGAATTATGTATGCCTGCTCATTGGAAGGGCTTGTTCATTACATGTTCGTCTATACTAGAAAGACAGTATTAGTATTAATCTATAGTTAATTAAAGTATGTAAAGGTGCCTGTTTTTTGTCGTGTACTGTAATCGTCGGAGTTGGTTTTGTGAAATTTTCATAGAAAGGTTGAATGTGATGGATACAGAAAATATAATGCCGTGCTATATGGTTATCGAACGATATAATATCTTTTATGGTTCTATATGTGTATTGAATAACTCCAGCAAGGCCCCTCTTTGGGTCTCATTCTTTTAATCCTACATTTTAGGATCGGGGAGCAACAATCTTGCTTCAATAATGTCTGTACTCGTGTCCTTAAATGCTGGAGACTCTCAAATCTCTTTACTCAAATATAGTCCCATGAGAGCATCTTCGGCAGTTCTTGAGCAAAACTGTGTAACATCAAACTGTCATTGGAAAGTTCTCCAATAAAAATCATATTAGAAACATAATATTGTCATATTGCTTCGGCAGTTCTCCAATAAAATTGAAAAAAAACTGTCATATAAGGAATAACTATACTTATGTATTTCTTTTTGGTCCGATAGTTTTCCAATATCTCTCCTTTTTTCTTTTGTGGTCACTGATATTTACCCCATCTCCCCTCGAATAAAGGGGAGTTGTATCTCCCTCAATACCATGAGGACCACCACAACTATCATTTTTTTAAATAAATGTTAACTATCATTTTTGGCCATCTTTTCTTCTAAATTTCTGTGGAACCCACCTTCCATATGGGTATTATGAGAGATATATTGGGTACTGCTGCAGCAACTCCCCAAATATTCATAAAAAATAATTGAACTATACCAATACATATGTATCGGGGATAAATTATTGAGGAATTACTAGAGATGCTCTAAGTATGAGCGCAAACAGTCAGATATACAGATAACTATAATATTTCTTGGATGTATATTCGAATAAAGATAATGGTCAGCTATGTTGGATAAGATGCTAATGGATGCAATATTTCTTGGATTTAGATTCGAATATGGATAATGGTCAACTATGTCGGATAAGTTGCCAATGGCTATTGACATCATGTATATCGATTTGAGTATTTGGATACAGATATGATATCAGGTATTGAATATACGGATTTGAGTATTTGGATATAGATATGGTATCGGGTATTGAATATACGGATTTGAGTATTTGATATGGATATGATATCGGGTATTGAATATCCGGACTCGAACGATGGATCTGAACTCCAAATGGTTTCGAACTTGGATACAGGTGAAAAATATCTGTACCATTTGCACCATTACCAATATAAGTACATTATTTACTAATTCAGGTAATACTCAGTATATAAGAAATCCCGAAAAAATGAAATAGGGGCGTCAGCTTTAAGCAAAGCACAGCAAGAAACGGGAAGAAGGCACAGCAAGAAAGCACGTGATGTGGTGTCCACAATTGAACCTAGTGAAACATAACTACATGGCCCCGTTCGGCTACATGCCCCGTTCGGCTGAACATGAAGCCGGTTTGTTTGGTTTTTTTTCCAGCTGAAATAGTATTTTTCTTTCGACGTTTCGGTTGAAACAGTGTTTTTTAGCATGAACAGTGCATTTTTTTCTAACCAATCAGAAGGGTTTATAACTCGTTCGTTTATTGTGAATTTTATCGTGAACGATCGTAAATTTCGGTAGGAAAAGATTTTTCTCTCACACAAAACCACCAAAGAAGATTTCTTCATTTAACCAAAGAATAAACGAACCAGCCAACCGAACATGCTAAAATTAATCGGCCACAATTTAACTCAGCGCTAAGCACAGCACAGCAAGAAAGCACGTCAGCTTTCCTAGCGCCATCACCAATGCCGCCCTTGACCGGGCCGCCGCCGCGTCGTTTTGAAGAGGAAAAAGTCGGACGCTCAATCAACAAGTCATTCTTTCTAGCACGTAAATAATTTTCACGACAAGAAGCGTGTGTGCGCGAGCCGGAAGAAGCCGGATGGAAATGGGAACGAACGAGCCGGGCGCGTGCGGTCGTCCTGCTGTCAGGGCGCACGCCATCCAGCTCCAGCGACCGTGTCCTCGCTCTTACCCTTTCCTCCTGTCCTGTCCAATCCTCGCGTGCAATCCCCATCCCCCCACGACCAGGGCACGCTATATCCTAGTTGCTCTTCGTCGTCTTCGCCTAACTGTTATATTGCCGCCGGCGCCGCCAAGTCCTCCTCCTTCGGGTGTGCCGCAGTTCGTTGCCCGATTCCCAGCCGCCGATCTCTCGATCTTCTCCACCTTCGTTCGTCCGTACAGGTGCTCGACTTCATCCTTTGATCTGTTTTTGTTTATATCGTGAGAGAATTTTATTTCAGTTCATGGGAGTTGGTCCTTCAATTATTTATTATGTATGTATGACGGATGAAATTTGGTTCCTCAATTCAATTCCACACAGGAACGGTTGAGCACGAACGAGCAGCCACTCCCGAACCCCGATCGCGATTACTTGCCGCGGCACCAGTACTCCAGCCGGCAGCCACCATGAGCAGCGGGAAGCGATCCTTCTTCGCGCCCAAGAAGAAGGCCGCGAACCCGTTCGATTCCGACTCCGACGACGACAAGCCGCAGCAGCGGCAGCCGGCGCGGGCCTCCTCCGTGCCTCCCCCGGACGAACAGCAGGGGCGGGGCTCCTCTCTCTTCGGCGGCGCCGGCGGCGACAGGGCCGGGCTCTTCGCTTCCTCCTCGACCAACCATCACTACCGGAACGACTTCCGCGACGCCGGCGGCCTGGAGGGCCAGTCCGTGCAGGAGCTGGAGGGGTACGCGGCGTACAAGGCCGAGGAGACCACGCGCCGCGCGCAGGGGTGCGTCAGGATCGCCGAGGAGATGCGGGACACCGCGTCCAAGACGCTCGTCACCGTCCACCAGCAGGGGCAGCAGATCCACCGCACGCACATGATGGCCGTCGACATCGACCAGGATCTCTCCAGGGTAACGACAGCCTTTTTCGAATTTCTTCTGTTCATTTGCGGTGCGGCGTTAGTTTATGAGCCTAGTTCTGTTCGCCTCAACAGGGGGTAGTGACTGTTCTTCCAAATCCAGTCAGTTTCAGAAACCCTGAAATCCAACAAGAGGGGGTGCTAATTGACTAATTTACAGAGGGGAATCTAAACCTGCAATCGCCAACATTTTTGCAAGTTCATGCTGTTCCATTTGCACATGACTAGCCAGGATGACAAGAATCTTATACTAATGAGTAATGAGCCTAATTCTGCTCAAGTAGGGGATAATCGCACAGCACTCCCAATTTCAATTTTCAAACCAGAATTGGACAGTCCCTGAAATCCTGAAATTTGCCGGGATTCTGGCTAATAACTTTAGAAGTAGTTTCTATAGGGGAGAGGGGTTAAAACCTGGAAGTACGAACAATGACACGTTCTATGGACTGTAAGTTTGTAACTGCCAAGTATGGATGCTCCTTTGCACATTGCCGACATGTACTAGACAGGAGCTGAATTAATGATCTTTTTTTACACATTTTTTCAGAGCGAGAAGTTATTGGGTGATCTGGGGGGCCTATTTTCCAAAAAGTGGAAGCCAAAGAAAAATGGCGCAATCAGGGGTCCTATGTTAACTAGAGGTAATTACCTTAAACTGGACTGCATGATGCCTAAAGAAACTTGTACCGCTTGGTATTGGTTATGGTGCTGTCCGAGTGTCCGTGACTGAAAGGATGCAATGATGGATGCAGATGATTCCTTCATAAGGAAGGGCAGTCATTTGGAGCAAAGGCAGAAGCTAGGGCTGGCAGATCATCCACCTCGATCAAATGCACGCCAATTCCGTTCTGAACCCTCTTCAGCACTTGAGAAAGTTGAGGTACTGTTGACACTTGTGAAGCTAATGCATCTCCCACACGTGATGAAATTTTGATGCTTCTGATATCCTACATGTGCACTCCATAATAATCATCCGGTTGTTTCTTTTGTAGATGGAGAAGGCAAAGCAGGATGATGCTCTGTCTGATCTAAGCGACATACTGACCGAGCTGAAAGGGATGGCCGTTGACATGGGCTCTGAGATAGAGAGGTAATGTCACATTTCGCTATCTTTTAGACTGATTTGTGGTCAGTAATTCATTTATTTTTCTTCCTGTTGTATAGCCAATTTGTAAGCATGGGATTACATGATTTTTAATGTATAACCAGTATATGTTTCTTCCACTTTGTCTTCGACTCTTTTTATTATATATTATGTTAATATAAAAACAGTGAAGAATAAAGTATCTACGACTTCCAAAAAGAAATTACTACCTGACAGTTTGAATGCTGATGGCAATTTCGTTAGTCATTAAATTATTAATTTGGAGTATTGTTGGCTTGTTGCTTCAAGCTGTAGCCTTTATGCAAATATTAGCTTTGAGTATGACATGTCCTCTTTATGTTTGTTGGATTCATTCAGCCAAACAAAATCAATGGGCGACGCAGAGAAGGATTATGACGAACTGAACTTCAGGGTCAAGGGAGCAAACACTCGAGCTCGCCGTCTTCTTGGGAGATAGAAAAAACATATATTCTTGTCTCCTGGATACATCACATTAACTGTATGGGGCATCAAATTCTGATGATTTTGTGCATCAGATTTTGATCAGCATTGTTACTGTGGACATGTCGGCGTGTATGGTATTAGACACATATTTTATACGTTTTCTTCTTTTTTCTGATTTTTTAGCATTGCACGAACTTAGGATTTCAGCGGTTTTACTTGGAAACCTTGTCTGATTAGAAACTTCTTTGCGGGTAAATAATGCTGATTCATAGTGATTTGTGGCCGTATACTTTCCACGCCATCAAGTAGAAACTTCAAACTTTGCCAGCGATTTACGAATGTAGACAGCATATATAGTAATTATATATCCTTTAATTTTAAAGCCATTAAGGCAACACTTCTGTTTGATCTTAAGGTAATAGATATTTCTAGATTGACGTTAACTTATTCCAGTTATGCTGATCTGAAATTTTAACAATCTTATAAATCATTATTCATATATAGGCAACATCTGAAGATATGTTGGGGCAATTAATAAAAAAAACAAGTCTTACTTTTCCCCAAACTTTATATCTTCTGTCAATAAGGTCAATGAAAAAAATCTAATCAAATTAATTAGAAGTGCTGACATGGTAAACTTTTGTGTAGACAAAAAAAAGGAAGCAACAGATAAATGAAAACCAGCACCAGAAATTCACATATGGTTTTGTAAGCAAACAATTTGCTAATACAAGAATTGAGGTTGTTGCCACATAAAAACAGTATATATGTTGCTCCAAAAGATTGACTTCTATAAACGGGCATGCAAAGTTAGCTGTTGCAACGAATTTACACATACTGATACTGCTCGCAACTTCAGTAGAGTGATCACAGTTCCGAACTAACTTCAGTAAGAGTATGTCAAAAACTGCAAAGCAACAAATTAAAGGCTACGATAAGGCAATCTTCTGAATGCGCATCGAATCTTCATTCAGCATCTGCATAAGTGCTGTCAATGGGATCATCCATCCACAAATCGTGTGTGTGCTTCTTGTACATGGGTGAAATCAAACAAGAACCACTTATGAATTCCAATTGAGCACCTTGAGAAGCTCTGTTGTCCAGTTGAAGCCGTCTGTGTTGATTAGCCATCCACTTATCATTGCGGCTGTTCTCAGATCCAAATACCATTTTCTTTAGGACTTTTGCATTCAAAACAAAGAACTTGGCAAAGTCAACATCAGGTCTCATGCCCTGATAATATATCATGACCACTTGTCTAAGATGCACGCATTCAATTGGATCCAGTGGATTATAGCTCCGCTTATTTTTCCTACTCTTCTGTAGGTTAGACTGGATAAAAAAGAACGAAAACAATATGAAAGCAGTCATGTCTCAATTGTTCATATTGGCACATGAAGCAAGCAAAGACAAATACTCACCACGATATACAGCTTCTGTAAGCAGGGGAAACACTTGAGGAGGTCAACAACTGTATATCGTGATTAGGCCCCAAAGTGTGAAGGGCCAAAACCTTTACAGTACGCATCGATGTTGTCAAGCTTTGGGCAATCATTTTCTGGACAAGAATCAGGAGACATCACAATTAGTCACTAGCAAATATAAATCCAGAATACAAGATGGAAGAATTGAAGGCCGCTGCTACCTGAAAAACAGCGGTTCCAATATCGCCCTGTTCGCTTGGCTTATAAACCGTATTTTTTCAGATAACGAACATTATTTTTCTCTCATAACAAATCAGTAAACAGTATTTTTATCCATGGCTTATCAGCCAATCGAACAGGGCACATGGAGTTTAGTGATGCCGTCCGACAGCACGCCCAATATCTCTAATTTTGGCGCCCGCACAACCCGTATTGTTAACGGACCACAGATCGGGTAAAGTGGTAACAATCTTTCAAGGCAAGATCTTGGAGTTTGATACGATTTTCTACTATCCTATAGCAAGAAACACGAATGCTAATGCTCCTTAAAGTGGGCGAGTTAATGCGGAGGCAACCAACGCCGACATTCCCCTCCAGCAAGAGGCTCTCAAGAACAGGGCAACCACAGAGCAAGCTGTGAAGAGCATCTTCCAACACGAAGACGCAACATAGGGAGAGCTGCTTGAGGCAGGGAAACTTGAGCAGCGGCACCATCTCTCTGGGAAAGTCGCAGTAGTCGAAGCTGGCTACGCAGAGGGTGGGTGCGAAGCGGAACACGGACGGCGGTAGTGGGTAGGGCAGCTGCGGGTTCTCGATCTCCCGGAGGCCGGTGAGGGCCCGGGAGCGCAACCAGCCGTCGATCCTGGCGTAGCGGTCGCGGAGGCGGATGCCGGGGAGGGCGACGCAGCGGGCGGGGCCCGGGTGGTCGGAGAGGATCTTGGAGACGAAGGCGACTCGCTTCCGGTCCTGGCCGATGAGGTCGCTGCCGGCACCTAGGTTGAGAGGCGCGGCGCGCCAGAGAGGACGCCACCGGCGGGAGACGGCCTGCGTGCGGGCGCCGTCCTTGGTGGGGAGGAGGGAGATGACTGTGCCCAGAACCTCATCGGGGAGCCGGCTGATGAGGTCTAGGCTGCTTTCGCCCACGCTGTTGCCACTCCCCATTGGTTCTTGGCCCTCGATTAGATCGGCTTTGCGCTTTTTGGCGGTGGCCGCAGCCTCCATGGGCGGCGGCTGGCTAGGGGGAGGGTTTGGGTGAGAGGATTGGGGAACGGGAGGAGGCGGATCGGCGCTGACGATGTGGAGGAGGGCCGGCGCTAGCGCGTGCTTCTGGCGGGGTGGAGGGCCGGCGCTGGCGCGTGCTGCTGGCGGGGATTGGCGAGTGCTCTCGGAAAGAGTCGCGCTGTCGCGCACGAGTGGAACACGGAAGGGAGAAAAGGGCGGAAAGAAATAAATAAATTAACAACTTACAGCTATGGCCCACTGTTTTGGTGATGGATATAAAGGGATCTGCTGCAGCATATGTCTCGAAAAAAAAAGTATTGGTGATCATCAACATTATACTGTTGGGATAAATCATCAATAGTATGTATTAGTGCTTACCCCGTTGGGGCATTTGATTTGGTTGCCTGCTTTCTGTCGAACCAGGCCCGCCAAGTGCAACAAACAAGCGTTTGGATGGCTGGATCAACGAACGGGCATGGCCGACCAGATGCAAAAAAAACCGTCTCGCTGGTGTGCATTTTTTCTTCATCTCTACGGAGACAGGCTCGCGCGGTGCAGAGGAGCGCGTGGAAAGCTGCGCGTAGACTAGAGAATCTGATGCATGTCTATCCAACTACGTAACCAAACACAAGCTCCGTTCGACCAGCATGCATGTATGCGAGCATCCAAACAAACGTAACTTGTGTGAATTTACGGTGTGTGTTGGTCCTAGCCTGCTTCTAAGCTGTCTAGCCATCTAAGCCACGGTAGTCTTAGTCTGCTACAACTAAGTCAATTGTGAGCTGTTTGGTTATATAGCATTTCTGCAAAAATACATGGATTTTTTTTATCTCTTTTCCTCTCTCTTTCTCACCGATGACCACCGGCGCCGGCGACGGTGACCGGCGAGCTCGCCCCATGGCAGTGGCGGTGGCGGCGGCGGATCTGTGATTTGTCCTTTCATAGAAAAAAAATTATGATCGTGATCTGTGGAGGCTGGAGGCTGGAGATAGAAGAAGGATAGAGACCATTGGATCTTAATCCTATGGTGCAAAAAAAATTCATGTGTTGAAACTACATAAAACACATGGTTGTGTAGTAGACGGACTCTTGATTTATCACTGTCGTCACTTTCACTATCATAGTGATAGAAGCGACCATGTGATACTTCCACCGTTGGTTGGAACAATAGCGAGGCCTCTTAGAATGAAATCGGCAATTTAGACTTCTACCACCGACGGGTTAACATTAGATGTGGCAGTGGTATTGGGGTTGCATTTGCTCCGTCGCATGAAAAGCTGGGCTGACTGGGATACGTATTTTGTCCGTCGACCCTAAACTAGCGTTTGGTCAAGCGGTGATAAATTCAACGTGAGTTTTGAATTGTCTCAACTTGCAAGGTCGTCAAATCACCATTACTTCCGCCACTGAAGCCTAAGAGCCGTAACCACTGCTCTACATATAATTCAAGCTCGGTGCCCTCTAAAACTACCCCTCTTCTTCATCCATCATCCCTTCTCTTCTAATCTACAAAGAAAATGTCGGACATCTCCATCAAGTTTCAAGCAGCTCGTTGTCCAACGAGGACGACTTGCCAGCCCACTAGTCCTCCAAGGAGGACGTCTCCTCTGACGATTGGAGGTCTTCTGATTATAGTCCTCCGTGGGGCTCGAGAAGGAGGACCCGAAGGAGGAGAAGGATGAGGACGAGGACGACGCCGACACCAAAGACGACTCCGATGACTCGACTCCGACTTCGCCTCGCCTCTTCCCAAGCGAGCGAGGTGAGTATATATTTAAATTAAGTAGTTTATAGTTAGTATAAATAGTTTAATAGTTTAGGTTAGTTATTATGCTTCCGGAGTACAATCATATACTTAGCCAAATTGTATCTAGATGTTACATATACATAATGAATCAATGAAAAAAATTCTATTCACGCAAATTTGATCTCTTCAATGCCACCTTTTTTATATGAAATGCAAAGCAAGTTCTTTCCAATACTACTTTCATAATGCCAGTGCACGGATTTGATCTCTTGATGAATGTTTTTTTGTTTTTCTGTATATTTGTGAATGAAAAGGGGAAAAACTGTCATGTACGGTCGCGGTTGTTTCTAGGAGAATCTAAAAGCAGTTTAACAGCTGACAATCGCCGTATTATAGCGTTGGATTAGCTTGACAATGGTCAGCTAAATACAGACACTGTTTAACTTATCTCGTGCCGTCTGTTCTCGCTGCTGATCAATCTGGACCGTCCGTTTGGCAACAAACCTAGAAGTGTCCGGCCCGTTCCCAACTCCCCTGGGGTCCTGTCAGCGCCTTGGCGGCGATTCGACCAACTAAAAACCCCAATATGAATCCATTAGTTCTCTCCACCCGTTGTTGCTTCACCCTCATTCTCTCCACCCGTTGCTTCATCTTCATTTTGACCCTTCGCCTGTACTTGCCCTGCCTCGAGCACCTTGCATTGTCGTCGTGGACAACGCCCTGTGAATGTTAGATGGATTCGGTCACGCCCCCCTATTTGCATTTGGTTCCAATTGGTTTTGGGTTCGGTAGCAGTTTTGCTCATATTAGGAATTTCTAGATGTCTTACTTCCGAAGAAGCCATTTCAATGCGAGCAACCTTGCGTTTTGGCGGCTAGGGGTGGCACCAGGACCCCAGATGATGTTGCTTGCTACTTGGGGATGGAGCATTCACCCGAACCGACTGTTGATTATTGAAACCGTTGTTCGTCACCTTCTCGGACCACAAAATTTGACAAGAATCATTCAAGACCCTGTTTCTAGAGAGATTTTTGTGCTTTGCAGGACTGGACAGGAAGTAGACATACTTTATAGATACAATGTATCCGTGGACGGAGATGCTGTCATCTTCGCTTCGGTTCACTATCTCTGGCTTTCAGGACCGCATCAACCAATTGAGTATCTTAGCAACTGCCTACCCATCCGTCATTAAGTCTTAGAATTTGTGAAACTTTTATGTTAATGAAGTTTATATGTACTAATGAAATCTCTGGATTAGTATGTATGAGTACTGCATAATCGTTGAACTATTACTTCGGTTGAACTGTTAATTGAATTAGTTGGTCTTGATTGTGGTCCACGTGTACACCTCTATGTAAGCATAGAGGATCCAAAACATGCCTTCTTCTACAGGCAGATAGTACCCTAAACCGGTGGTGACACAACATTTCATTTTGGCGGGAGTCCGAGGGTTTTGAAGGACATTTTGGCACCTTGGCGGGAGGCAAAAGCGTACACAAAAGACATGGGCCAACCTCTTCACTCAGAGTGTGCAAAACTTTAAACCTATTTGCTCCATGGCTGCATCTAGCTCCAACTCCTCCCAATGGTCGACACCATCCCAGGGCGCCGTCGTGAGAAGAACACCGGCTTCCAGTGGAGGAGGCTACAATGGGAGGGGGCCGCCCATCCCGTGTCGTGTCGAGAACCACCCCTACGCATACCAGCCACCACTTTTGTGTCGCTGCATCTTAAAGACACCTCGGTGGATTTCGTGGAGTGATGGAAACCCAGGATGTCGGTACCACAGATGTTGTAGGGCAAATAATGTAACTCGATTTCTTTCTTGTTCATTCTATTTTCGCAATGCAAATGCTGAAATCCCACTGTACTTATGGCAATTTGGTTTTTTCATAGCCCGACTTAGATTGTGGGTTCTTCAAGTGGCACGATCCCCCATATGAAAAATTTTTGAGGACTTTGATTTTGGATTTACGTAACAAGATTTGGGAGCTGAAGGCGGAGGCCAATGTTACAACAAATGAAGAACATCTGTAGGAGGAGGAAGAGATTATGCCACAGATTGAAGAAATGGCTAGGGTTCCAATGAAGATGATGGAAGATTTCGTACTTTTGAGAAAGAAATGTGCTTCCTGTTCATCTTTCACCTATTTTGTACTTATCTTAGTTCTTGGCATGTTCATTGGCAAGTTCCATAGTTCACCGCAGTAGATTCAAGTACCAATTTATGATGTATCGGACTGAAATCTATCACTTTTATACAACTATTGTTAAACTAAATGCAAGGTGATTATCTAGGTGTTCAAATTATTGAAATGTAAATGCTAGTACATCCAAGTATCAATTGATGTGTCGGACTAAAATCTATCACTATTGTACAACTATTGTTGAAATAAATGCAAGATGATTAATCAGGTGTTCAATTTATTGAACTGTAAATGATAGTACATCCAAGTATCAATTGATGTGTTGGAGGTATCATACTTCCTTGGACACTGGGCCCTGGTACAAGGGCAATCAATTTATTGAACTATATATACACTCCTATGGTCCTACCACACCTTCCTCCCATCCATTCCCCACTCTGCTCCCTTTCTCTGCTTCACCTTACTAGCGTCGGATGAAAGACAGCCTCTCGTGTGCTCACTGCTCCTTCACCTCCAACCTCACCAGCGCACTAATCTTCAGCGCGCCGTCCCTGATTCTCTGCTCCATCTAGATCTAAGGTAACTGCATTGGATCTGCTCCTTCATTGGATTCTATATTCCTTTGTATTGTTCTCTCGTGCTCTCTGCTCCTTCACCTCTAACCTAGCTATAGTAATTTTGTTGGATCTGCAGATGAAAATGCATCTTCTCATTCTGGAGTTTATGGCCTTGTATATCCGTGGAGTGTAGCTTGTGAGCCTTATTGTCCTCAGTATTGGTTCACCAAATTAGTGCTTTGTGAACAAAGTCGATGAGCTAAATGAAAATGTACCAATGGATGTGGATGGGGTTGTAGTGGTCAAGGCTCGGGATGACATGGAGATTGACAACCATCCCATGGAGGCCGACAATGATCTGCAGGATATTATGGAGATTCACAACAATCCCATGGAGGTCGACTAGGATCAGCATAGAGAATGATTAATTATGGAACCAATGATGTACATATTAAGACCTTTTAACTTTTGCATAGTGTCGGCCTAATTAGTATCTGCATTTTAGCTTTTCGGCATGCTTGTTAGCTTGGTAGTGTCCACCTACTTATT